GCAGAGCAGCGGCGAAGGTGCAGACTCACATTGAAGATGACGTAGAAAATGGACTGGAAGGTGATGATGTAGCTGTAGCAGGCCCCCTTTGGAAGCTTCCTCTGCTCCTGGACATGCTCCTCCTTGTAGTTGACGTATTCATAGTACTGCTGGGCCATCCTGCAGGAGGGAAGGGGAGTGTGTGGCACAATGAGCTCTAAGACAAAAAAAAGCAGCTGACATTTATTTAAAAACAAACATTTAAAATGCAAACACAAACGACAACACAGACTCCGCAATTTAAAACCATAAACACCTCATGAAATTGATTCCAAAATAGTGGGAGTCAGCAATAAGGGCATAACTTGTCAGTTCCTTCACACTGCTTCTCTTTTAAACTAAAATGGTGTAAAGCTGTGTTCATTTTTAGATCTGCAGTGAAGCAGCTCCTCATACTGACACCTTGCAAGGTAAGTTCAACGATGTCCTGGAGGCTTCCTGTTCATGTTTTTTGTTCACCCCTTTATATATAACATCATCGTGCTCAGCAGTTTGATTTTTGTAGGTCCTGCCACTGACAAAGGCCTCTAGTTAAAGTAAAAGTATGTCTATGCTGTATTTTGTAGAATTCACAAAATAGTGAATAATGGTTGCTATCTGACCAGGTGACTTCCAGAGCATGAGGCAGGAGGTATAATGATGTGATTTGTTTGTTTGTTGGTAATTTATTTGCTTCCCTAGTTTCTCTAGTAGGTGCTATTTTATGGACACTTGTATCTCAAATTAACTGCAAATAACCAAAATGTGACAAAGATTATTCACTAAGCAGAAATACTGTGCTTATATTCAAAAGGGATCAGCAAAAATGTGTCTTCTTTGGCGCTTTGCGCCTCACCTTGTTATGTAACTTCCCAGAGAAGCCCAAAAAGGCACAATGGCCACACCAATGGCTACAGCTGAAGGAACTAATGTGTAGTACCGCTCCCAGTAATTGGTTGAGACAAATAGTGCATAGATTCCTGAGGCCAGAAACATCATCCACTTAGTGCCAAGAAACCTGAGAAAGAGATGAAACGTGTGAAAAAGACTCATCAGATAAAAGGAAAGGGATTCATGTTTACTTTATGACTGTGTGACTCTACCTGATGAGTACTGGGGTGTAAAGGAGGCCGATAATCGGGGTCACGTTGATACCCATCAGCATCTTCCGGTCGATGTCCTCAAGACCAAGGTTGCTGTATTTCACCTCACGGTAGGTCATGTCGTAATGAAGAGTTAGCTGCATCTGTAAAAGGCCTGGAGAAAAAAAAAACAGGATTATATAAACACAGCTTACTCTCCTCTATATGTCAGTGTTTTTATCTCTTTTCTCTGTTGAGATTCCAACACATCTTTCCAAAATTCCAAACGCCTCCAAACTCAGATTTCCAGACATTTCTGTCCTTTGGCTGGATGGATAGAAGCTCACCCATATAAACACTGTACACAGTCATGGCTCCAAAGCTGCTGGCAACAACATTCTTGATGACTCCCAGCCTCTTTCTTCTGTAGTACTTCCTTTCTTCCTCCTCCTCATTGTACTGTGCCTGCGGGCCCAGAAAGTCCTCCATCTGAGCAGAAAAAAGGAAGTTACGTCAGCAGCCGTTTACGTCAAGAAAGAATCATCTTTTACTGATCCTAATCAGAGCTCACCTCTCCCTCTTGCCCCACATCCAGCAGTTCATTCACGCCACCATGGGGAGGCGCTACAACCTGCTCACCATCCTCAACAAGCTGTTCTCCCTCAGCTGCCTCCATCTGGTGACCAAAAGAGGGCAGCACACAAGATTCAAGACTGAAAGAAATTGTACTTAACAGTTTGTTGAAATAACAATATCTTTAATGATTTGAGGCACATATATGCATTATGTAGTGTGCTAATGTTTGTAGGTTTTAATAGCTGTTTTTTCTTTCATTCTGTACCACACTACACCAATATTTTGTTAATAATTAATTAACAAAATAAATAATCTGTTATTCATTATAACAGTCCTATCACTACACAAGTTACTAATATGACTAATTATACCTGGAGTTTAGATTAGTTCTAAATTAAGAAAAACAAAGTGATGGAAATTTTAAAAAATGGCCTAATTAAACACAAGGTATCAAAGATTATTTGATATGTTTTAAAAAATAAACAGAGCAAAAACAATTATTATTTGAAAGCAACAGCCTTTTTAACAATGTACCTTCCAATTATTACGACCATCATTCATCCTGTCAGATGTTTCCATTTTATTATTATTGAGTTTTTTTCTTATTTGTCCCTATATTTGTGTTTTGTTTGAATGTTAGCCTTATTATTTGCATGTGGATTAGTTTGTTTTCTTTTTCCAACTTATTTTAGCCTACCATTTTTTAAACATAACGGCTTTCCTGGAGTACATTAATAGCAATGGGAATTTCTCCTTTCTTTGAATTGATTTTTAAATAAGTAAGGAAAAACTCAGTGGTTTCAGGTTTCTAAATGCAATCTGAGGGGCTTTTTTATTTTCCAGTTGCTTTTCACGCAAATAGTCAATCAAAACAAAGTAATTTATTAACACAGTGGTGGCAGTATCATGATGTGGTAATAGGTTTAATTTTCTCATATCCGTTTATTTTATTTTATTTTTTTTGCACAACTAAATACAAATAATGTCTTTATGCTCTTCCTTTGTGCTGGTTCATTAGATAAATCTCAATAAAATACATTCAGATTTATGAATATAATAATATATAATAAATGTGAAAATTAGTGTGAATATTTTTGGCATGCGCTGTGCAATTTTACCACATATTCAGGAGAAAACTTGAGATCAGAAATCAACACCATCATGCGTCAGTGATCCATGATGAAATTAACATTTGCCAATTTAACAATCAGTAAAACTTTGTGACTTTTTAAAAATAAAAATCAGATACATATCCATCGGTTTGATAATCAAAATTATTACATGCATTCGGAAATTTAAAGTAAAATAAGCCATGAAGATCTTGAAAACTGGATCAGTGCACAAGCGACCAGCTTTGCGCTTTAGGAACTGACTTTAAAGTTTATGAGGAAGTGATGACCAAACTCTTTTCAAAGGTCCCGGAGGCCTGAAGTCTTTAAAACAATTTAAAAGTAGGCTATATAGTAGCCTATTTAAAAGTAGGCTATATAACTAAATAAATGTGCACAGTTTCAAATGATTGTCAACAAAAATGCTCTCGTCTTTTTTTTTCTTCAGGTGTACAAGTGTTTTCTCTTGTGCCAGAACTATTTCTCTCGGAAACAAAGTTCTAAAATGTTTTATAAACACGTTTGTTGACCATTAATAAATGGAGTCATAATGGACCACTAGTTAGTACCAGGGCAGCTGGTTCTGTGGCGCACGAAACGACCCATTCCAAACCTGCTCCACCCCGCAGGCCGAGGCATGTTTTCCAGCGTCTTTGTTTTATTATCTAAGAAAACAGTGAAAATTGACTCACCACGTCGGTCTCAGGACTCTGTTGCAGAATGAACGAAGCGTCCACCTGCCAGACAGAGACATGCGGACACCTCCTCTCTCTCTCTCTCTCTCTCTCTCTCTCTCTCTCTGTCTCTCTCTCTTTCTCTCTCTCTTTCTGTCTCTCTCTCTCTCTGTCTCTCTGTCTCTCTCTCTGTCTCTAGTCTCAGTTTGTTTGTTGGTTCCCGTTTCCGAGGCGCAGCCTTGCGAGTATAAATAAAAAGTTTCACGGGGGAAACGAAAGTTTGCGCTCTCACTTCCTCACCGCTGCTGCGTCTCGGTTTGTCTTAAAGGTACAGGCACATTCGTATTGAGGAAGCCCCGCCTACTCTCTCACTGCAACGCACCGGTGGACTTTTGTTTACCTCCCAGAGAAGCTGGATCCTTCCCATTTACAGACTACTGGTGCATCTCAAAAAATTAGAAGATGATCAACAAATTCATGTGCGATCTGTAAATAACGTGTGCATCGCGTAGATGGATTACACAAAGTATAATCTGATCATGTTTGTTAGTGTTGTAATGCCTTAAAGATAATTTTAAAATGACATAAAATGCTTTTTAATATTTGGGTGAGGCTCCGGTTGCATCAGTGCAGGGCTGGAGATGCCTAACCTGTAGTGCTCTTCAGGTGTTAAGGAAGCAGTTTGCTTTATTTGACCTTCAGCTCATTTCCTCTGAGGTGAAGGTCATGCAGTAGTACTTTTCGCAGGCAACAGGAAAGTCCTGGTGGAAAATGAAGTCAGCATCTCCACAAAACTTGTCAAAATTCCTTCACTGAAAATAATATGTGAGCATATGTGAACCAGCAGGTGACACGAGTTATCACAGGCTAAAAGATTTCCCTGGACCGCAAGCAACTTGGATTCTGTGCCTGTCTGCTCTTCTTCCAGACTCTGGGTCCTTGATTTCAAAATGAAAAGCAAAAAAATGGCTTTCCTCTGAAAAGAACTGGACCAAATCCAACTGCGGCCTAAACCTCATCAATCTCTACCTCTGGAACGGGCTTTGAGTCACAACCCATTCAGTGCTGTTTCTTATGCACCTTTTTATGCCCTTTCTATGTTTTTCTTCCACTAAGTTTTTTTAATAATACGGTATATAGTCAGGAAGAAGTGGATACAGTCACTCGTCCGTTTGCTGTATTTAGCCCACGTTAGTGAATGAGTGTACGCAAGACAAAAAGTTGTGGCGTTTGTGTTCACTATGAAAAAAACATCATGACTGACAATTTGCAATAAGCCAGTTTTTCATTCTTGTATAGTGATCATTGATGTATAGTGATTTCCTTTGCTCATATGTGACATTCTGACTATGAGAGGAAAGTGAATCAATCTTTTATTTGCTGCAAGCCATAATAATCAAACACCAATAAAAACTTGGAATATAGCCCTCTTCTTGTGATGAAAAAATATTTTCAACCACTTCTCTTATTGAAATACTGACAAATTATGTTTTTAATCATGACTGATTGAGACGCACCAAGCATGGGACAGATTCAGTTGCTCAGAAGATAAACACAGTACAGTTTTTATTGAGCGTGATTAACAACAGACCATCAGTGTGGTTTGCATATGAACAATTTTTTACTGACAAATCACTGTGGTCCACGACGAGCCAAACAAAGTCAACACAAGCGCAACAAAGAGCAAAGTCCATTTTATCTGGAAGAACCAGAGCAACAGCTGGACGTAAAAAAGAAATGATGAGCACCTATTGCATAGTGTCTTGGTTAAAAACATTTAATCTCAACCGAAACAGCCACTGTTTTCTAAATTAGTTGTAAACTTAATATAGCTTTAACTATACAGATCCTGCAAGCAGAGCCGACCCTAGAATATTTGGGGCCCTGAGCAGATCGCACCCACCGACCCAAACCCTGATATCTCTTGTCGTCTGCCTCAGTTTGATAGTGTGATGCTTTCCTGCTAAGATAATGAATGAATGAGTTCCTTGAGTCCAGAATTAATCATTTTCCATTAATTACTAAATAAATAGCAGTAAATACATTTTGTAGGCAGGTTTAGTTCAGACTTATTTATTCTGTCATCATATCTGGTGTGTGGTTGATACAGTTTGAAGTCAGGACATAGGGGCTTGAGAGCTCATGAGAAATTACAAAAAATAAAAATAATTTTTTTTAAAGTTAAATGTAAATTTAAAAAAAACCCATCTAGCTCAAATGTAAGCAAAACAAATTAAGTTGGTGGCATTAAATCATGACTGCTAACAAACATCCATCATTTGTTAGTTTTTTTAATCCCATCTTACCTTACATTGAATATTTCTTTCAATTTAATATTCAGAAATTTGGGACCCAAATACAAAAGTAAGCTCATACTAAATAAATATATTTTCAAATCTGAGATTTTGAGATTTCTATACACAAGCCCTGTTGGTGCCCCCTGCTGGTCTGGAGGATCTGGGCAGCAGCTACAGTTACTTATATCTTGGACCGGCTATGTCTGCGACCTCGTGCAATCTTATGAGTTTACATATTTTCTTGAAACACAGAAAAACAAATGAGTTCATTTCATAATCAGTAACAGATCCAGAATGGTTCTGGACCAGAGACAGCTTGAAATTAGCCATAAATCTGAACGCAAAATGTAAGCTTGCGTCCTTCCTCCCAGGACATCTGCAGTTCTCTGCAGTTCTCAGGCAAATCTGAAGAAGAAACCAAATCCAGAAAGGCTTGTGGAGGACCACTTCCCTCCATTACTTTTTCAGTGCTGCCATTTGCATCATCCTCTGATGCAATCTCATCTTAATGGACCCTCGAAACCTTTAACTTAACATTTTTGATTTACCCACCCTCTTATTAAGACATGAGTCTGTTAGATTCCACACATCCCAGCCCAAACTCTTGTATTTCTCTATACATATGCTGTTTTCTTCAAAGTCTCTATCCGCTCCCCACCGCCGCTTTCCTCATCATCTCCTCATCCTGCACGGAGAGCTCTGTGAGTTTACGTCCCAGTCTCTCGTGAAGGTCCAGGTATTTGGCCACGCAGCGGTCCAGGCACACCGACTCGCCCTTCGTCAGCTCTGCTTCCTTGTAGTGTGGTGGGACGCACTTCCTGTGGCAGGCGTTTGTCATCCTGACAATAGAAAAAGTCACATTGTTGATTTAATGTAGAAAAAAAAAAAAGAGAAGTTCTTTTATGCTCAAAATTTGTTGTCTGGTAAACCTCAACAGCACCATCTGCTGGATTTTAATTCCAATTCACTAAATGTATTAATTTGTTCAAACAGCAGGACAATAAATTTTGATGACATTTCACAAAATGATATGGCAGATGAGCACGATACCTGATGAATGGCTTGGATCAAAAAGTGCAATTTCAAACTGAAAACATAACATTTCACAAAACAACTTTTGCTTTAAACGTTCAATAATAAATCAAAACCTTTGTAAGAAGTGCTGCACATGGTGGAAACAGGACGACGCGCTGAGAAACTCAAAACGGATCATAAAACGAAGAGAGAAAGAAAATGAAAATGATCAGCAATGAGAGAAGTGTTATTTCAAAGAACCCAACAACTGAAAACAAGCAGCATGAGTCAACCAGACTACAGGAACGAATCCACGCACCCCTGTTGTGAATCAATTTAGCTGAAATAAAAAACAAACCAGCATGACTCAGGCGACTTCCGGAGAGATTTCCTTTCTTTCATTCATATTGGCCTGATTTTCACACAATCATTCAATTTGAAGAGTTTCTGTTGCCCTCATTACACCTGACGTCAGCAGGATGATTTCCACTGTGCTGTCCTGCTTCACATTGACCACATTACAGGAGATCTGGATTCATGAGTGGGTCCAGATAAAATGGAAAAATGTTGTAGATCAGGGCACAAGTATGGAAAATGTTTTGAAAACATTTTTCACTCTACAACCTTGCACCATATTGGGAATATGATATCAATCAACACTTTGCTTACAAAGCTGCACTTCCACTGTGTTGTGATCGACAGGACAAGGGAAGTTGATGCAACTCTTTCTTCATTCACATGTTGCATTAATTACACTGTGTGCATTATTGTCCCAACCGTTTGTTCCCTCAAAACAGACAAATCTGTTGTTTCATGACGAAAAGTTTCTCATTTCCGAAACGTTTAGGAGATAAATACTTGAGTTTCCATCACAGTCACATGAAAGCATTGTCTGAAATAAAACTTTTCAGCTGCATTGTTTTTGTACGCATGGAAGAACCAATCCTGTTAAATTCATTTTGCAGGTTATTACCCCCTCAGAGTGATCATCTTGTGTTTTTTTTTTTTTTTTTAAGCATCAATAATATCTTCAAGTTAATCCATGTTCATCATGCAAACAGCCTTTAATCTAGAGTTAAATCTGTCTCCAGTCAGTTTTAATTTAACTCCCCGTTTGGACATGGATTAGCTCTAGATTTGTCTCAAGAAATCTGTCGATTTGATTTCAGGAAACATATTAAAGCTAAATCAGAACTAGGGTTTAGGCCCAGTATGTGAATCTGGCCCAGAATATTTTATTGATCAGATTCACTCCTCTTCTTTGTGTTTTTGCATCCTACAGTCTCAGCTGGAACATTTATATTTATTTAACACTCATAATTATCAGTTAAATAAGGAAGATATCTAAACATTCGCTTCGTGTGAGACTTGAAACTTAAAATGGCTTTTTACAGCATGTGTTGCATTGAATTGTGTCGTGCATCAACACAAAGGTCATGATATCCATTTTGCGTACACCTGTGTTCAGACTCTTTCCTTTGAGGAGAAATATTCCCGTGGCATTTATTCTTCTTTTAAAAACTGTATTTTACACCACATAACAATTTGACCCTCCAGAAATTACAACTTGAACTGGCGTGGCTTTATATAGGAGCAGACTCTAATACAATAATTTGTTTTCTGTTATGAATTTATATGTATAAAAAAATTTTAAATAAAAAATACTGTCATTTAACACATTATTGTTTTTATATTTTATTATCTTATAAGAAAACTCACCTTAAGACCAGAGCAGGATTTCAAAAAGAATGCAACACTGATCATTTATGCTCGCCTATAAATTGTGACCAAGTGGTGAGAAGAAAAGTCATAAAACTGCTGAAGTTTATTGCAAGCCACGTGGTTGTCCTTCTGGAAGAAGAGCTTCGGTCAGACGAACCAAAACTGAACTTTTGAATCCTACATGCATAAAAACTCAAAATGCACATCACCCTGAACGCACCATTCTCTCACTGAAACATGGCCGTGGCAGCATGATGCCGCGGGGATTCCGTTTAGACGCGACTGGGAGATTGTACATAATTAATGGGATTATGATGATGATGAATGGACCCTTCACGTACAGGCGGGGAGCTCCAGTGGGATGGATCAAAGGACATGCCAGTTACACTGAATCAGGGGTAAACATGCTTTAGTTATGGGTTGCACATTAGAAGATATAAAATGTACGACTTTAGAAGTTGTAGGCTGAAAGCAGTTCCAATTATTATATTTTCTAGATCGACCCAAAACACTTCAGTGATCGCCATTCACCTTATTTATGTATGTCTGTGCAACTCAGCAAGGACTCTGGTTAGCAGAGGACTTACCGGTTGTACATGTCAGCCATCATCTCCACCTCCAGCTCCGCCGCCAACTGCTGCGCCTTCATGGGGTCCATGTCTCCGTCTCCGTGCCGCTCTGCCCCGGCCTCCAACCGCAACCCACGCCGCTCCTCTGACCCTCTGCTGCGGACAGAAATCCCGGCCGCTGCTTCTCCTGTAACCTTCAAAAGCTCGCAGCTAAAACACGTGTGGAGCGTTTCCTCTCTGCCTTCCGCTGGCAAGACAGCGAAAAACCAGGGCTCCCAAAAACAGTGCGCCCCCTAGAGGCGTTGTCTCTACCCGCCGAGGAAGTGAAGGCAAAAGCCAGCCGTGAAAAGACAACGTTTTAATTAACATAACATATTTTACACAATAAGAATGTTTTAAACTTAATAGCTTCTATTTTTTTTCACAGAAATTAGTCAAATTTATCTGAAAATCATAAACAACAGTGAGAACTTTCCTCCTGCTTGTTAATACAGAAATGTAAACATCCTCCACTCGAACTGTACATTCTTAACTAAATCTGGTGGAAAACTAAATTCTGATTCAATAAAAATAAGCATCTGCCAGACAGAAACGAATGAACTTCAAAAATAATATAAAAATGTGTAACTATTAAAAGTGCTGAACAAACATGGTAAAAAAACCAAACAAAAACAAAACATAACTAAGCATTATTCTCCATCTCCTATGACGTCTACTTCGATAACATCCTCGTCCTCCTCATCATCATCTGGAATGACGACCACCCTTTCTCCCAACTCTCTGGTTGAAAATTTGTCGGGAGAGTAAAGTATGACGTCCACCTCTTCGTCCTCCTCTTTCCCGTTGCAGCCAGATGGAGTGCTGCCGCCATCTGCACCTGGAGACACAAATAGTATTAGGTATGTTCCAACGGCTTTCTTTTTTGCGACGTCACTCTTTACATGCAGTAGAAATAGGGCAAAACAGAGCACACTGAAAATGTCCGAGAGTGTGTGAAAAGTTGGTTCCTACGTCGACAAATGAGTTTTTGTTTCAATATGGAAAGATACACAGCTCTCCGTATGCCCATTAAGATTAATTATGTGACATTTGACATCCATTTAGAAGACCGCACTTTGTCACACCGATATTTTTCACCTTTTCACAAATGTTCAACAACAGAGAATGTGTTAAAACCTGATAAGCTCGGTGGATGGAAGGAGTGTCTGAAAACAACAATGTTCTAGTTGAGTGAGCTTCCTGAACAGATAAAGAGCCTCTTTACACTTCTAATGGTTTCTTTTAAGTTTTCTTTCTGAATTTACCTCTGGAAAAATGTTGTTTAGACTAAAAATAAGTAATAAAAGTATACATGATTTGTGATGATAATGCAGTATCGGCAAATACTGCATTATCGGTGTCCTTAGTGAACTTGTTGTATCTGAACAACCGTATCATTTAATCTCCATCGTATTGATTGCACCCCCTACAAGTAAAAGCTTCAATGTGTATTATTACAATTTTAGGTGACAGACCAAAATAAAATGGTGTGTGATTATGAAATAGAAGCAAACAATTTCTCTGATTAAAATGCTTTAAAGTGTGGCGCCCGTTTACTCAGCCCCATTCACCCTGACAACACCAAATAAAATCCAGTAGAAGCAATTTCCTTCACAAGTAACCAAATCGGTAAATTGAGTCCACTTATGGGACTCAATTTGTGATTTATTTACTATGTATAAATACCGTTGTTACCCAAAGGCCTCCAAGGAGTAATCAAAATCACTAATGAAGCTGCAGAGCAATGAAAACAAAGGGACTCAAAAAAATGGGACGAGATTGGCGCGAAACTGGCAGAGAGCATCAGTCGGAGAACAAGAAGTCAAAAAGAAAACTGTTGAAAACCTGCTAGCAGCTCCCAAAGATTGGAGACTGATGAGGTCCACCTTCCAGCAGCACGACAGCCAAACGCTACAACTGGACTTTTTAGATCAAAGCTTATTGGAATGTTAGAATGGCCTAGTCAAAGTCCAGCTGAGAATCTGTGGAAAGACTTGACAACTGATGCCCACAGTTGCTCTCCGTTCGATCTGACTGAGCTTCAGTTGTTTTGCAAAGAACAGGAAACATCTCAGACCCTAAGAAAGATGGCAGAGACAGAGCTGAAGAGAGCCGACTACCAATGTTCACCTCGTTTTTCAGATCACTTCAAAAATAAAATGAAAACCCCGTATCATTTATCACTAAACATACATGTGTTGCTTTATATTCCTGTACCACATGCGATTACGTTGGAGTTTGTGGTTGTAGCACGAGGAAATGCTGAGAAGTTCCAGAGGTGCAAGACCTTTCAGCTTCTTAATTATATTTCAGTCTTTCGGTGGCAACACAGACTGGGATGCATTGACAGTCAGTGAGGTTTTAAAAGCTAAATCAAATCAAAAATACTGATGAAAATCAAACCTCTTCATACCTTCATCAAGACTTGTAGAAAACCGTTTCTCCTCTTCGAGGACGTCGCAGGAAGAAGCCGGTTTGTCCTCCTCGCCTGAACCGCAGCTCTTCCTGGCCTCTGAGTTGCTCGTCACATCCTGAAGGCTCCACGCAGCTGCCAGTAGGTTGGGAAGCTGGTTGTGATTTTCATCAACTGTAGCATCAAAAAGCTCCCGGCGGTGAGTCTCTGAGGCGCCACTCTTGTCTATTTCAGCGTGCTTCTCTAAGTCTCCGACATCTGCAGGTTTGTTTCTGTCTTGGACTTCAGTGCCTTTCCTTGTTTTGGAGTGTTTGCGATTAATCAGTTTTTGGAACTCCTTCAGAGTCACCATCCACGAATGCTTCTGTGGTTCACCACTTTTCATGTTATCAGTTTTGTTCTTTCCAGAGCTCTCATCACTAGTAGTGGTCTTCAGCTGCCTCGCCTCTTCCTCGCTGCTCATCAGTTTTCCACACTTTATGTCTTCCATTGGCGACTGCTTCTCTGACATTTCCTCGCTGGTCTCAATGTGACCCGTGAGCTCAACGAATGCGCCGGCATCTTCTTGAAAATTCTCAAGTTTTATTTTCGGCGGTCTCCCACGTCTCCTCTTGTTCCCACCTGGATCTTGTTTGTGCACCACGACGGCCCGGCGGATCACCGGGATCAAAACGCAGCATTTATCTGAGACGGCGTTGCTCGTGTCGCGCTCAGACTGCTTCATGAAGCCCCTGGTTCTGATCCGCGGTTGTTTGGTACCATGCGTTCTGGGTTCTCTGGATTTCTCGTTGCCGGTGGCTGTTGTTCCTGACGGGGGTTTGTTTAGGGGGCTGATGCCAATTTCTTTCTGCTTCATCAGGATGTTGTTACATGACAAACTCACAGAACAAACTGCTGTTGCTGCATTTTTAACTTCTGGGTCCAGGGATGAAACTTCAGCCAACTCTCTCCAAGAATCTGGTCGCCGTCTTTTTTTCCTCTTGGACGGTACCACGTCTTCTGCAGCATCATGTTTGCTTTTCTTCCTCTTCATGGCGTCAGGTTTTCTCTCTTGTTTGAGTTTTATTTCTCTCTGTCCCACACTCTTCGCAGGGCTTGCCTGTCCTTCGTTTTTCAGCGTGAGCTTCCTGAAGCTTTGCGACTGCTCTGTGTTGCAGTCGGTTTCCAGCAGCTCAGTTTTACCTGCTGTGATGGCGTTGAGTGGAAATGTCAGCATGCAGGCGTTCTTTGTGAGCCAGGGCAGACTTTGAACATCATTTTCCATCCGGCCCGAGACGCTGGGGTCGGGCTGTTGGTGACCTGCAGGGGGCACTAACGGGGAAAGACACTGTGGCAGCCTCAAGTCCTCCATGGTTGGCAGGGAAAACGCATCGACTGACTGCGTGTCGCTTTCATGCGAGAGAGACAAAAACTCGATGCTTTGGTCTTCCTGGCAGAATGGCTGCTGCAGTATCAAGTCGTGAAGTTTCTGCCCGCTGGAGAAACACGAAACGGGATACGGGGAGCTCTCTCCTCCGGTCCAGCTTAGCCCATCCATCGGTCCAAAGGATCTGAACTCTGAGTCCTGCGGTTGCACTGTCTGCAGAGCAGTGTGTGCAGCTGGGGGGTTTATGTAGCCTGATTGGTTCTGAGCTCCAAAACAGTAATGGAGCCCTAGACAACCAGATCATCAGGGGTTAAAGATCAACAGGGGAGAGGGAGAGAGAGGACATTTTTAAACATCAAATGTTCTGATTAGGGATCCAACTAATGATTCATTTGGCAATCAGGTATTCTGATGATTAATCGACTGATCAGCTAAAACAACTGGCTCATAGAGCAGTGTTAAACAATACCCACCTGTGTCTGAGTGGCTCCCCTGCCTCCCCAGGTCCTGGTAGAAAACACACTCCTCTGTGCAGACGTCAGAGAGCGGCGCAGTCGGCCCCTCCCCGTTCTCTGCACCATGGACCTGGCAAAAGGCCGGCACGTCGTCGTGGTTCACATGCGTCTTCCTGCAGCTCCTGCCCAGGTCCGGCAGCATGCTCATGCTCATTATGATGTTCTCCAACAACTTGTCTATCTTCTCATCAGAGTCCTCCGTGGGACCCTGAAGCGGCGAGCGACCCTCGGACTCCAGCTCGCTGCTGCGGCTCAGAGAGAGCCAGCCGCTGGAGCGCGCCTCCGAGTCCGAGCTGGTGTTGGCGTGTTTAGGAGGCTGGGGGGAGGAGGTGAAGACAGGCTGGACAGGATGGACAGAGTTAGCAGGGGTGTGGACAACTTTAGGAGCAGATTGAGGGGGTTTCTGGTTGGTGCAACTCTATGGAAACAGACAAGTCAGATTTTAGGAACACATTTTTTTTTGTGTATATTTTAAGTTTAAATCTAATAATTTTCAATGTGAGTCTGCACTGGAGAAAAACTACTGTTTTCTATTAACTATAAGGAATATTTTCAAGGATTTACTTTTATTTAGTCTTTTTTTATTGCCTCATTAAGACTCACAAACTCTAATGTGTCCCGTTTTATCTGCCGTATGCTAACAAACTGTCATACTGTCAGTCAAACACGGTGGCGGTAGAGTGATGGACTATTACGCTACTTTTCACAATAGATGGAATCATGAATTCTGCTCTCTACCAGGAAACCCTGAAACTGAGAAATTTCAGGCTAGTAATTCATAATCTTACATTCAGGAACACCTGAGTTTCAGAGCAGAACAATGACCTAAAGCAGACCAGACGGTCCAACTATAAATGGAAAACACGTTTTTCTGAAAACACGATTTGAAGTGGCGTAGTCAAAACTCTGAACTTGAACTGACGGGAATGCTGCTGGCTGAACAACCTTTAACATCCTGTTCATGTTGGAAAACCTTCCAAACTAGACTGAATGCAACAAAAAAAAAAATTCATCGATTGTGTTCTAAAACAGATTAACTTCTGAACATGCTGTGTATCTACCTGACTCGGGTTGGTAGGAACCGATGCCGTCTCATCTGCATGTTCCACAATCTCCCACTCTTCTCCTTTAGTCCTCCTCCTCAGTTTCATCTGAGCCAAAGATTATTGAAATAATGTAATAAAACCACAGCTCTGTTCTTCCTATTCCTGTGGGTTCATTGTTTTGAGCATTACAATGTGCAGCCATGAAACAAACATATCAAATAAAGTTCTGATAACTTCTGTCTCCATTTTACCAGGTTACCTTCTGAATTTTCCGCTATATATTTTTGTAAAGTGGGAAGAGGATTCGCCAGCATACAGGAAGCGTTACTCCAGGATGCAAAACATACATTAAAATTGGCTTTAATTTGTAGATTTTAATATACTTCCAAATGTTTCCACATTATAGTTTCCCCTTGAATATCGTTCAGCGTCAACATGTGAGTGCAGTGTGCAGGTCTTACCTTGACAGAAATCTGTGCAGAGTCCATCATCTGCTCTACCTCTTTCATCCTGTCCAGATTCTTTCCACTTCTTCTAAGATGCGAGTTGCTCTTCTCCTTTTCTTCTGCCCGTATTGCTTCCCTGCAGCCTCCTCTTGGCTGAGCACAACTCCCTCCATCCACAGTCGCATGTCCATCTTCTTGTCCTATCCTCTCTCTTTCCACCAACTGTTTGGAAATGTTTTTTTCATGAGATGTCGGTGAACTGGCATTGTCGTTGGCGACCAATGGCACCGTTCCTTTGTACCTGGATGGAGCTGAGAAGGATGAGGAGTCAGAGCACTGTCCAGCTGCAGACTCTGGCTCGTTGTGGACGGTTAGGTAAGGAGCGAGTGAAATCTTGGCGAGGTTTTGAGGTAGCAGTGAGGCAGAAACTGCTGTTTCTACAGTTGGAGGCGGAGTTTGATCAGAAAGAGGACCAGGACTGGCCACAGATATCAGAGTATTGTTTACAGTTTGAGTCCCAACAGATAAAAAGCTTTTCCTTTGAACAAGAGAATAATTCTCCGTCTTTCCACTTTTCTCAACCTGTGCATCCTGCATTTCCATCCCCATGCCTTCTCCAGTGTGAAACCTCTGCCCTCGTTCCAGCAGCTCTACGCTTTTCCACTCCCCATCTCTGCATCCCAACACCAGGTCGGAAATTCCAAACTTGTGGGCAGCGGCCAGAACTTCGTTCTGCTCCTTGCTGCTTTTAACGTCCAGCCTCCCAGAGTACAGGAGCCCAACGAGCTTCAGTAAGGTGTGGGCCGTCACCTCCTGCAGATGGAGCAGACGCTTCTGCCCCAACGGAGGAGAGGGAGAGTCCGACAGCCTCTGGCTCAGGTAAGGGCTGAGGGCGGCCAGGACACAGCTGTGAGTTGGGATGGCGATACCTTGGTGGAGGCAAGTTGGAGAGTTACTAACAGGGACTTCTTGAGTTTTTGGGATACACTATCAGGGTTTTCTTGATGTAGCTTTTAGTAGAGGCCTCACCCTCAGTTTGCAGCAGGGTATCGCAGAACTGGGCACGGTTTTGTTGCGTCTGCAGCTGTTCAAGAAGCTGCATTTCATAGCCAGGCCACCAGAAACTCTGCATGTTCACAAGATCCTGGGAGCAAAAAGCACCAATAAAGAGGAGCAATTCCAAAAAACATATTTCAGATGCTCTTAATGATAGTCTAAGACAAGAGTCAACATAAAATTCAATAATGTTTATCTTTAAGGCAAAAAGCTCTACAGTCAAAGCTAGCCCTGTGAGGAAATACAACTGTCTCTTGGTTACATCGTTAATCACCTGTGATCAATCATATTTTTGGGGGCTACGTTCAATGAGTCACACGAAGGGCTGGTTACTGCCGGATCTGTGGAACAAATAAATACGATTAACAAACTTATACACATAAAATAGAAACAAGAAACTTAAACACAACCTCATGTTGTCTGACAACATGAGGCTGGCGAAAAGCAGGGCTGGACGATGTGGCTGAAAACTCATCATGATAGAAACGTATGATGTCAGTCGATATCAGTAAATGTCAAACTCCAGTCCTGGAGGATCACTGCTCTTCAACTTTTAGATGAAGGGCAGTGGCCTCTGCTGCACCACACCTGAATAGAATAATTAGGTCATTAGCAAGGCGCTGGAGAACTTATCTACACAAGAACGAGGTAATCAATTAAGCTAAGTGTATTGTAGCTGTGGCACTTCAAAAAACTGCAGGACTGGAGTTTGACACCCCTGGTCTATATAATTAATTATTGATTGTATTTTGATTTAAATATCTGAAATACTGGCGTGACCTTTCCTGTTTTATCTCCAGTTTTTACTCCACACCTTTACATTTATTTTTAACCTGAAACTGCTGCTGTTACTCGACAGGTTGTTGCTAGGTGACCAAAGAGTGAGTGAGTTGATTCCACTCACCTTGCTTGGCTCACAGTGAGAGGTTGAGCAGTTAAAGCCTTTCCTCTGCTTACATCTCCCAGAATGCTGTGCGGTTCTGGATTGGACTTCAGTGAATATTCTGGATATTGAATACTCTATCAAATGTATTATGTATTGATATTGGTCATGTGTTTATTGAAGTATGTTGTATTGATTTATTGTCAAGCCGTAAGCGAAAAGCTCTTCAAACGAAAAAATATGGCTCGGTCTAAAAGGTTATTGACATCCACCCGTCTGAAAGAGTCTACAAAGCAATTTCTATGGCTTTGGGACTCGAGGGAACCACGGTGGTGATGGACCAGGAGCAGCCGACCAACCAAAGTTACGCCAGAAGGGTTTTAACAACTCATTCAGGAGCAACAAAGCACTGCAGTCTACACTTTTCAGGGTTAACCCAGCAGTAAGGTAAAGGTTAGGTAGAATCCATGAGAAAGTCTCAAGGCCTAAATCACTGCTAAGCAGAGAGTCCAATGGTCCATCTCACATCTGTACTGTTATGGCCTAAGCATCAAGCATGGTGATGGCAGTGTCATGGTCTGGGGTTGCTTTGCTGCTTATTGATAACTTACCATTTCAGAACACCAAAAAAAGTAATTAGTAATTTAGATTGGATTATTTCATAGACATCACATATTCTGTAAAACACACGGTGTAGGATGGACAAAGTCTTTAAAATAATCCAGTTCCAGTTAAATTTAGCAGAAACCCCCTTGGATGCTAGCTTCAGCAAAATCCAATTGTTAGGGACGGGTCGAAATTTTGCAGTCTGCAGTCTATTTGGAAATCTATAATACATTCTTTTTTCTTCTTTTTAAAAAAAATCCAGACTGAACATTTCTGATTCGTCTTAAAAGTTTTCAATTTCTTAAAGGGTCTGAAAGCAGAACACGTGGAGTAAGGTCCGTGTTTTCCCACGCTGGAGTTAAGGTCTGTGGACCTTTACTGATTAAACAAACAAACAAAAAAAAAAAACGTTAAGGCTGACTGTTAGCTCCTGTATTTCGTCAGATCAAGAAATCTAAAACAGATGCGCAGAAATCATTTCTAGCAACGACTAGCCCGGCTGAATAAACCCTGAACTTATTGACCTTAGCATGTCACGTTGCTAAATTTGCTAGCTGGGGTTAGCTTAAAAAAATACTCACCTTTACTTTTCCTGAAGCGCAAGCATTTGTCTAACGAGCAATTAATCTTCTTTTCACGCGAAACTTACGTTAAACTGAACATTACAAAGAATCGATAAATGTTCAGCAGTTCTCTCTCTCACTCGTCGTTTTGCTGTTTAATCTGAAGAGGAGTCACCGCTTTTGCGCGCCGCAGCGCCACCTGGTGGCAAACTACAGGAGGGACAAAACGAGGAAAACTGTTCTCTTAGGACATAATAGAAATGTTGTCAATTTAAGTTAATAGTTCTTTGAAGCAAAAATATTTGTACTGGTTTATAAGTATTTAAAAATAAATATCACTGCATATGGCACAACATATTAAGTATCAACATGCGTAATGTAGCAATTATGAAGGTCTACCTGCATGAAATATTTGATCAAGTATGAACGCAAATCTGGTAGTAGCTTCCTTGCTACTAGAAATAGTTTTAGAATCATGTTTTCCTCGCATCATAGTTTTAATTACGACTGATCCATATTATCAGTTTACGGAACTTTGTGTCTCAATGACTCGCATAGATCAGTTTAAAAAAAGAAGCAACCAGAGTCCACAGGGAATTTTTTTTTAATAAAACTTGGAACTTCTAATCAAAATACACTTTTAACAGCACAGTACTATGATCTATGACATAAAGCTGAACAGAGAGTAGTAACCATGAAGAACTCAAATGCTTTTCAGAGACATTTGTTGATGTGCGCTGCAGATGGGAGCAGGTGGTGAAAGTTTAGGTTTGTGGTTAATTTTGAACTCCATCCCCCACTTAAATTTCAATTTAGACTTTGGTTACAGCTTTATTTTATTTAAGTGAGTAATTAAAGATAAAATCTCATCTATAATTACAATGTATCTGAAGAAGTTTTTTGTTTTTTTCCTATCATGACACCAGGACCACAACGATCAGATCAACTACTTCTAAACAGGATATACTGATTATGCCTCTGCCAGCAGCTCAGTTTAAATACTTCATAAAAAAAAGCCCACCTTGTCTTGATGGGTCACAAGTAATGAATAAGCAGTAATCCACTAGTATGCGAGTCTCAGTCATCGGATTTATGTTGTACAACAAATCAGTGGTTGATTTATCCACATAAAAAGGACATTTGATTTCTTATACTTGCACATTATTCTTGTTTCATTACAAAAAACCCCAATCACAACAATAGACAAGGCAGATATCTAGCTTTCTTTTTTATTAAAAACATTATTGCTAGTTACATAATTCAATCATAAATGAGAATGTGCAACTTTTAAGAGCCAAGGCAGAGATTAAGGTGTAATCCACAATCAGAATGTTCAGCGTAGGAAGTTTGTTTTAATCCAGCAATGTTGGTTTGCATTTAATTAAGACGTAAACTGAGTTCTTTTCAAATCAAAACATAAAAACTGATTGCATATGCATTCACCCAGCACACCCGAAACAATGAGCTCCCAAATCAATATAAAAAGAAAATACATAAAACCATTAAAATTAACAAATATTCTCTTGAATATATATAGTTTAGATGTGCTTTTATTCTATTCACCATTTTAACTAGTAGCAAATTGTGTTCTATGCCTCCTTACAGATTTTCTGACATTATCCTTTGTTGTTCTCCAACTTTATTAAGTTTATGGTTGAAGGCAAGTTGTCTGTGTAGGGAAAAAAAATCATTTTTCACCTGGAATAGAAAAGTAAAAAAAAAACAACAACAAAAAAACAAAACAAAACAACCAAAATACATTTCCCCCCATAGTGCTTCTTTTAACAATCCAGACAATATCTACATCTCACTCGGCACTAACAAATGTGGGCTAAAACTCACAACACGGATTTGCCTTCCAAATAGTGTTTTGAAGCAGTAAATTAAACAGAAATCGAGAATTTCATGCCATACAAAGAGGAGATTTTAAGCATTAGTTCACTTATTCTTCCAGAACAGGCTTTAAAAAAAAAAACACGCTGTATTCCCAACATATACGCTGCAGCGATAGGAGAAAGTGAAAAACGTTTGTCTTTTCAGGCTTTGTTGGATACATCCAATATGTGAGGCACTCCAGTTAGCTCACTGTTAGCAACAGTTCTCTTGCACATTCATAAAGGCCAGCAGATCCAGTTTGATGGATGCTTTGGCATCTCCCAAGACTTTCCAGGATTATTAAACTATTTGGAAGAAGGATCACTTTAAATACAGTCTTCTGTCTGTTCCAACAAGCCAGAGGAAAAGTATTGTCATTTATTCCTCTGTGCTGACACATATGTATTACAGACACTTGCACCGATTTATATTTATGGACGTTCACCAAAGTCGAGAGGCCCCAAAGAAATCAGCGATGCAAACTTTGAAACACAGGCGGCACGTCAAATAAAGCACAAGACATTTGTCAGTGCAGCGACTGAAAGAAAAACAAGATTTTGAACTCTGCCTCAACATTTTGGCACAAGTACAGAGCGTGTATACAAGTAGCAGTTCAGAGCAATGCAAGTAGAGGATCAACCACTACAGCAACAAGAGGCAGAAGCTTTAAACAGATCTAATAAGACAGAAACAATGATTCTCAGAGAATTTTGTAGTGTTTAGCCAGAAAAAAAAAAAACATTCCCTTGATTTCGTCAAAATAGTGTCGTCATCATGAATGTAAAACTTCCCCACAAAGTATTCCAGTCTGATCATTTCCATTAAAAAGTGTCAAATCAGGCCTTTTAGTGTCTTCCTGGTAGGTTGTTCTATAATGCTGTTCATGGAGATGTAGAATCATAAGCCACAAACTCAAACTTAGTGGTTACTGAATCACAAAGCACAGAGTGGTTATAGAGTCATGATCCCTTGTCCACAGGCAGCGCTTTAGATCCACATCACTTCCTGTGGTTTCATTCATTCGTCCGCTGTAATAGAGGAATGTAACAGAGAGAGAAGAAGAAGGAGGAGAAGAAGGAGAAGAAGCTGCGACAGAAAGGAGTGAGTGTACATGTTGGAGTTAAATCCTGGCGGTAGTGTAGTGGTCGCCCCCGTTGTCAGTTCAGCAGGGGCAGTAAGTTGGAGGAGGCTGTCGTCTTGCGATGCACACAATCAGTTCTTCTGAAAAACAACAGAAAATCAGAGTGTTGGGAGCTGATTGTGTGAAACGAGTTATCAAAGGCGCTCATGCTTCAAATTCACACTCAGAAAAATAACACAAGATTCACAAGAAGTAGCTGTGAGAAGCAATGTCATCACATCTTAAAACAAAAACTGTGAGGAAAAAGAAAAGCAAAACATCAAGATAAGAGAAATAACAGCTTCCACCAGCAGAGGGGGCAAAACAACGGTTTAAATACAATATAATGAGAGCTCAATGAAAACGATGGATGCTTTTGCAGTGCCTTGCAAAAGTCCTGGAATATTTTACATGTTACAGCCACAAACCTCATGGGGTCTATTTTGAGATTTTACACAGCAGACAACACAAATTGGTATATAAATTCTAAAGTGGAAATAAAAGAAGGGGACAAATGTTTCTCAGCTGTTTTATCACTAATAAAATAGAAGTGTGCCAGACATTTGCATTTAGGAACCTTTTTACTCTACAACCCCTAAAAAAACCCAGCCGCAAGATACTTCCAAAGTTTTTTTAACCCTCCAAAAAAATAATCACCCCACTGCTTGGTGGTGCTGACACTTTATTATTATTAGAAGGTTTTGTTAATCAATTCCCCTTTAAAATATTCCAAAATTTTCTTATTTTGTCCCCCCTTCATTGCAGTTTTCAAGCATCGAGTTTTTAAACTCAGTGCACTGTTGTTGTTTTTTTAATCACGGGAGAAACTTTCATCAGTTCAAACATATATTAAGTCCAGATCTAAACTAAATCTGATACATAAACCTTAGATCAACTTTGAAACCCAACAGTAAGATAATGATAAAAAAAAGAGAATTATTAATCAATTGAATACATCTCAATTCCTGATGAAAGAAAAAAAGTTTCCATTTATATTTAGGTAAAAGTAAAAAGCCATTCATTTCCCAGGAAATATTTTTGTCTTTGCTTACTGAAGCAAAACTTTTTCAGGTTTGGCAAAAGCTAAAATAAAATTTTTTCCAAAGCTTGCCAAGTAGAGTTTCTTACCTCTGCTGTTGATCTGTATTTGTGTCATATTTTTGTTTTTTTTTTCCCTATCTATACATTATGAATTTAATTAATTTTCCTATGAACTATCATGTGTTGATCAAAATTCCAGTGAAATACAGAGAAGTTTCTGACTGTAAAATGACAAAACGTCAATATCAAGGGGTATGTTTTTTTTTTTTGCAAGGTACTTTTACACACTTCTACAATATTAGGCCATGCGATGAGTCGAGCAGGGAAGCTGGTGGGACACATACCATGCTCTGACATGCAGTGTGACAGTGGATGTAGCCTAACCATCGTAAGAATCCAACAGAGGCAAGGAAGCCTGCCTTTCCCCATACATCTCTCCCTGAGAGAAGAGACAAAATATGAAGAGATAGTGTGACAGATTATGAAAAGACAGGAAGAGAAGCCCAGAGGTGGGACCACACGAAGAGAACAGTGAACAAAAGAAAAAACAATGAGTTGAGTGTGAGTGGACACAAAAAGTTCAGAAGATGTAGTTAGAGGGAAACAAAGGATGAGATAAAAAAAATAAATAAAATGTTAGTGGCGATGTTAGTTCAGGTTTCAGGGAGACACATGGGAGATAACGTTGGAGATAGAGATTGAGCACTTTGCTCTTATAGGACGTGCTTCAACATGCCGTCTGTGGTGTGAGAACGTTCGCACCACAACATTCCCGGAGCTCACATTCTGTGTGTGTTGCGCATGATCTAATCACATCCATGAATTTCCGACCTTTTAAACGAGAAAAGCAATTGACTTGTAGTTTTCCCAGCTTTATGGGAATTCTGCCTGAACAGATACAACGTAAGTGGAAATATTTCACAGAGGTGCTGAAGCGGCTGAAGAAGCGCTGTGACTGGGCTTTTATTGACCAACAGTCCTAAACCCCAATTTACAGATAAATCCAGATGAAAATGTGTTTCTTAATAACTGGGGTCAGGAAAGAAGGTGTTGGAAGTGTTTTCCAGAAGTTTTCTTTTTCAGCGAGAAGGTAGCT